TAAAGAGGCTCCGTCACCCTCTATTCTTTCTCTGGATCATGTACTTCACTGGTTCCAGGAAGGTCCTCAGGTGGCATGGCTACTGTTGTCCCCACACAGCTCATTTACAAATTCCTCCCATCGTCCAGACTTGGCTCATCATTCAACTAAGCTCAGAGCAGCCACTGCCAAGGGGGAGCTTGTGTTCCCAACCTTACTTGTCACCCTTAGAACCTCAGATGCACTTTTAATAATCAGTGTCCTTGACTTGACCTTGCAAGCTTCCACACCCCTGTCAGACTAACAGGATATGTGTGACTCATGTGGGTAGGTACTCCTGCAAACCTGTTCCATGTACTGACTCCTCCAGGTATTACAGCACTTCTGTTTTTAAAGAAATGGAGAGAAAGAGAAACACTGTCTTTTTTTAGGTCATGTGGGCAGAATAAAAACCCAGAGAGGCTACAGCATCTGGAGCAGACATGACATTCCAGCTGTTTCCATTCCTGTCAATTCCACTCGGTCACCTCACCTGACAACTTTACATAAGACCACCTCTTTTTGCCTAGTTCATGGCTGGGCCCTGGGGTGAGGGGAGGAGTCAGAGGTGGTTCCTATCAGCTGCAGTAATGACTGACAACCTGTCAAGGAGGTCCTTCCTGGGCCCTTTGGGTTCTGTGGTATATATTATCAGTCTGCTTAGGTAGTAAACAGACCAAACAACTGCAATAACGGACATCTCCCCCTCACAGTCTGGAGTCTAGAAGCCTGGGATGGAGGTGCCAGTGGCTTACCGAAAGCCACTCCCACTTCGTCCTCACATGGGCTTTCCCCTGTGTACAGACACATTGAGTCTTAGGAAATTTGGGCCCTACCCCTATGAGCCCCATTTCCTTAGAGTTGCCTTTTTGCACACACAATGCCCAAGCACAGTCACATTGGGGTTGGCCATGTCTTCCGAATGGAACTGTGACCCATCTCTCAAAATTCGTGCGAATCCCTAAATTCTGGTGTCACTGCTGCAACTTTTTCTTAGTTATAACCAAAAGAAACATCACATGGCAAGCTGCCTTGTCTTGGAGATAGACAGCATTTGGGGTCATGTGCAGGCCTGGCACTTCTGAAGAAGACACAATTTCAAGAGCTTTGAAATGTGTGTGAAAATTAATCTCCTGTAAAGATGAGGTGGGCATCACAGGCAGAGCATCGTTTGTGAGCGCCCCGCCAACAGTAAGGAAACACAAGGCACACTTTGCAATGAGGCCATCAGGAGAGAGGGCCGAATGGGAAGAAGGGGTTCATAAGCAGACAGCCATATGGGACCCTTGAAATGAGGCAAGAACTTGGCCCTTGATCCTTGAGCATTAGAAGGCCACAGAGGGAATCCAAGTGGCTGGAGCAATGCTAGGCGTGCACAGTTGTGCCTATGTGCTGTGCACAGGCATTCTCAAAGAGCAAACCCTTGCCTGTAGCATCACCCCAGACAAGACACTGCTGGATGGGGCACAGCTCCCTTTGGGGAGATGACTTTACAAGTGGGACTAGTGTGTCTTGTGCTAAAACATTTACCTCCATACAGAATCAATCCAAAAGAGATAGGTTGGCTATTTACATTCTCACCCACCTCTGTTTCCACACCCCCCACACTCACAATATTGTTCTCATCTCCCTTCCTTGCTGGGAAAGACTTCCCAGCTACCCCAAGGAGGCTTTAAAGGTCTTTTAAGCCTCCCTCCCTCACCCCACCCCAAACATCTCAGTTTCTTTCTTCCTCCTGTTCTTGTTGACCACTTAACTGAGCATGGCATTTTGGGCACCAAGTAGAGGATGGCTATTGCGGCAAACCTTTGAGAGAAATCTCAGTGTGCTGAGGAATGTCATGGAAATGAGAGATAGTCATGAAAAGTCAGACATCTGGGCAAAGTTTAAAAGGACTGGGCATGCTCAGCCTTGAGCTAATATCATTGTGAGCAGCCCTGGTGACAGTTCCCTAATACATCAAGAATGCATGCAGGAGGGTAGGATCCATTTTCCGTTCATCAGCAACAGCAGAAGGAACAGAAGCATCTTAGATTGCAGGCGAGGAAACACCCGTCACATGTCTGAGCTGCAGGGGAAGAGGAGCTGCCAAGAAGGCCTCTCTGAATCACTCACTATGCAACACAGCCACTGGAAACACCGTTCAGTGAGCAACATGGCAGTATACACAAGTCTGTCCCCACCTAGGCTCTGCGAAGCACACCTCATGGCCTAGAGACTACAGTTGGGGTCTTGAATGCTACCCTTCAAACTTATGTGTTGACAGTTTGGTATCCAGCCTGTGTCACTAACAGGAAACTGTGGAGCCTTTAGAATCTGGAGCCTGACAGAGGAAGTAGGGTCACTAGGGCTGTGCCCTTGAAGAATGTACCATGAGTTCAGCCCCAGTAATGGTTAATCTTGATTGCCAACTTGATGAGCGCATACAACTCTCTGGGAATAGCTGTAGGTTAACAGAGGTAGGACATCTATTCTGAATATTAATAATATTCCATGCATTAGAGTCCTGTAATGAATAAAAATGAGAATGAGCATAAGCCTTCCTCACTCCCTGCTTCTTGCCTGCAGACACAATGTGGCCAGCTATCTTAAGTTCCTGCCACCATGACATTCCCATGCTAGATCATATATACTTGAAGTGTAAAATCAAAAGAAACCCCTCCTCCATCCAATTTACTTCTTATCAGCTATTTTGTCACAGCATGAGACAAGTAACTGGTGTAGACCCTTCCTGTCTCTCTTTGCTTCCTAGATGCCTTGACATGAGGAGCCTTCACTCAAATCACAATGCCCTAAAGCAGTGGGATGCTTGACAATAGATCGAAACAACATAGTCTTTTTCTTTTAAAAGTTAATTGTCTCAGAACCCTACATACAGCAACAAGAAGTTGACTAGCACACCAGATAATTCCAACAAGATGTCTAGTTGAGAATACCAGTGGAAGATTCTATCTAGTTCTGTTGTTTATTCTAGATACCCAGGAACCCAAGACATTTCAGATTGCTATAAGTAATAATGCTTTCTAGGCATGAGAAACATCATTTATTCCTTTGCTATAGCTGACTTCTGTCTTGCCAGTAATAGCAGCAGCAGCAGCAGGAGCAGACCATCAACAGCTCTGAATTACAGAATTGCTTTTCTATGTCATAAGCTTGGCACACTTGGTCCTTCACTCTTATCTCACCATCATCATCAGTCCCATTTTATTGATGAGAAAACTGAGGTTCAGAGAGGACTAAAAGCTTTCCTATAGCCTCACTTTGGAACACATAGGAGATAAAACTAGAGCCCAGGACCCCTGAGTTCAGAGTCCACATTCACCATCATATATCTACATTGACAGGAATTTCCAGCAGTGTGGATGTCCCCATGCCATCTTCCACATGTATCTGGCTAGGGTGCAGTGTTGTAGAATATTTGTATACTGTGTGAAGATTTATTGCTACAATTAGTTTAATAAAGAGCTAAATGGCCAATAGCTAGGCAGAAGAGATAGTGGGATTTCTGAGGAGAGAGAAGAAGAGGAGGAGGAATCTAGGTGACTGATTGTGCCAGAGAGAGGTCAGCAAGACTCAGAAGGAAGAGTAGGACACAGAAAATGGGATAGAAGTAAAAGCCACATGGAAGAATATAGATTAATAAAAATATGGGTTAATTTAAATTATAAGAACTAGTTGAAAACAAGTCTAAGCTAAAAGCTAAGTTTTCATAATTAATAATAAGTCTCCATGTCATTATTGTGAACTGGTGGCCCAAAGAAAAATCTGACTACAGTACAGGATTTCCCAGAGGCCTGTGCTGCCATTAGCTAGCCAGCATATTATTATGCACTCAGAACTCTTGCCAAAAGATTGCTGAATAGTGGTTGTTGGAAGACTTCCATGAATAGGAGCGATAGTGTCCAGACACTCCCCTTATACTCCAGACAGCCCTGAATCAGTTTTCTATCCCTGATGATCCATTTTCCTCAACACCTGAATGCTTCCTAGCCAGTTTTCATCACAAGATTTTCCTGGGATCTCCCTGTCAGATGGTGCTGATAAGACACTGGTGACAGGAGACTTCAGAACAGCCACCTAGTCTCAGGTAAGAGTCACCACAAAACAAGCATTCTCACAGGGCTTCAGGTCATAGCTCAGTCCTGAGCACTTGGGCCCACCCACAAAAGGAGTACCACTCAGAGAAACTGGGGTCAGGGCAGGGAGCCCGGGGAACATGGCAGACCCTGCAGAAGTGAGTGAGAAGGGGTTTTATGCTGTTCAGTCATCCACAGGCCAGTGTCAGACCTGGAGTCAGGAGAATGAAATTTCTTCCTTCTTCATGGAAAAACTGGATTCAAGCCACAAATACATGTTACTGGGGAGTCTGCATTTTTCCTCCAGCTTCACCAAAATCAGTGGAGCTTCAGGCAAAATTTTTCTTTCATGCAGAGACTAAGGCCCAGAGAAGAAAGCAGTACAGAGTCACAGGGAAAGGAGATAAACACTTCCAGAGCTTTCCACTCTCTAGGCTCCACACAAAGCAGTGCACGGGAGGGAGGGGGGCAGGGAACACAGATGGCTTAAAAAATCTGGCCTTGTGAATGTTAACCTGTGGTGGCAAATGTCATACCCAGATAGCAGGTGTAGAATAATAAGCATCAATGAACTCAGCAAAGAACAATGACCTTCCCATGTGAGGTAATGCTTAATTGCTCTTTAGCAGACACACTTATCTTAAATAAGACCATCCCTCTGGGTCATCTTTTATGATTCTGCTGCTTCTCCAACTATGCCTAGCAACACACATCTGAGATACAGATAGGTGGCATATAGTTCAAAGGATGCAGAGATGCTCTGTATTCCTGGTCAATCTGCCCTCCTCAGCATATAATGGATATCTCTGACCCCATGTAACGGTGGCTTGAGGATCCTAGCATCTGATGCTGTTACTCATCCTGTGAACAACAAGCAGTAAAGTTCATTAGAAACAGAGCTACTACCTTCATGGTGCCCATAGCTTTGAAAGCCACCGCTAATCTTGAAGGGGTCAGTGTTGCCAGCATCACGTTGAATCTTGCACTCTTTCTTTGAATAGGTGAATGGTACTGTCCATTGGGAGCCACAGAACCAAACCTGTGAGGATGTAGAAAAAGCAGGATGGAAAAAATAAAGACGAAGTTTAAGACAAAAGAAAGTATGGCCCTACTAGAAATGAAGCCATGTGACTCCCATGTAAACACAGAAATAGGAATCCTGGAAGCTTCTCAATGTAAATGCTGAGAAGAGCTTGACTTGTGGAAGGAAAGGGCAGGTTTTCTACCACTGCCAGCCTGCAGTGTGGTAGCAGCTCCCCAAAAGGAAGAGCACCATCATCAAACCAAAGCCTGAAATGTGCAAACACAAGCTGGCTTGCCTTTTTAAAACAATGCAGAGTGATTAACATTCCATAAAATTCACATGTTTACAGCATCTGGATTTGGTGGGTTTTAGGATATGCACAAAGTTCTACAACCATTATTACTCCTCAACTCCAAAACTGCCATCATCCCAAGAGAAACCCCGCTCCATTTGCCGTCACTCTATATTCTCCACCTCTAGTCTTTAGCAACTGGCTTTGACTTTATAGATCAGCCTACTCTTGTCGTCAATGGGAACAAAATATATAATGTGTTTTTGTGTCTGGCTTCTTTCACTTGGCACAAGGTTTGCAAGGTTCACCTATGCTCTAGATTATATCAGTACTTCTTGTTTTTTTATGAATGAATATTGCACTCAGTAGTTGTTAGCATTTATCAGCCAACAGATGGTAAAGTTATTTCCACTTTGGGGGTATTATGAATAATTATGTTATGAATATTTGTGCTCAAGTTTATTTGGGACAAATTGATGTTTACATTTCAATGAGATAGAACCACATATATACAGATATACATATGCATCTGGAAATAGAACTGTTACATCATCTAACTTCAAACATTTTTTAAAAGATTTGTGTATTATTTGTGTGTGTGTGTGTGTGTGTATGTGTGTGCATGAGCTGCATGAGTTTAATGCATACCCCTTGAGTAGAGGAGCTCACTGAGGCCAGAAGACGAGATGAGATGCTATTAGTGTCTGATTGACATTGAATCTTCTGGAATTAGACTGCCATTATGTGGGTATGGGAACTTAATTTGGTTCCTCTGCAAGAGCAACAAACACTCTCAACACCGGAGCCATCTCTTCAGTTCAAACTTAAAACTTTTGAGGAAATGCTAAGTGAGTTTCCAAATCTATGAAGACATGTTACAACACTGTCAGGGACATAAGATGGTTCTAATGTCTCCTCATCTTCAACAGCACTTGGTATTGTCTGCATGTTTTACAAAAGCCATTCCAAAGAGTGCAGAATGATATTTCACTGTGATTTGACAGCAGTGTTTCAGGCATTGGTGAATTTTCTTTCATGTTTTATCAGAGAGTTGATATCTTTGGGGAAATGTCTATTCATACTTTGTTTATTTTTTAACTGGCTGTCTGTCTTGATCAACTGGAATAGTTTTTCTGTTCTGAGCGCTAGGCCCTTATGATGTTTTTTTTATTTACAAGTCTTTCTTCAACTCAAAAGACTATTTTCACTAAGTTTTTTTAAAAAATGTATTGCCCTACATTTTCTTTGGTTTTTCATTACCTGACTTTTGGTGTCAAGCTTAATAATTCACTGATGAGACCAAGGTCACTAACATATACCCCAGGTCTCTTCTAAGAACTGTGTGCATATATGTTGGGTGGTGTGTGTTGTGAGAATTCTTTCAGTCAATAGTCTTTGAGGCACTGACCCCTTTCAGGGTGGGGCCCAGAGGCTATGTGTGGACTGGCAGAAAGTCCCTGATTGCTTTCTTGGGCGGTGGTCACAGATCAGGACACAGCTTCCTGCACCTTCAGGGGCAGAAGACCACGGTGGCAGTTTTACCTTCATTGTGTGAGTGATTCCCCAATAAATACCTGACTTCCCTTTATTCTGGACTCTTGTGGAATCTCTTGTTACATCCTCAGCATGAGATAACAGTTCAGCCTAACAGTTTTAGATAGCTACATGTCCTGGACACACTTGTTGAAAAGACTACTGTTTCCTCTTTGTCTTGGTGATCCAGAAGTCTAGCAATTGCCAATAAATATGAGGATTTATTTGTAGACTATTCTATTCCATTGTCCATATAACTACCCTTATGCTAATGTCATGCAATCTAGATTACCACAGCTTGGTCATAAGCTTTCAGATTCCAAGTATGAATCCTCCCACTTTGTTCTTTACAAAGATGGATTTCTTTACTCTGGGTTTCTTATACTTACATATAAATTTTAAAGTGTGTTTATTACTTTCTTCAAAAATGGCAGCTGTGATTTTTTTAGAGAAGCTATTGAATCATTTATCCACATCTGTTAACTTGCTCACTTTCTAATCAAGTGATGAACCAAGGCCCCAGAAGACAACTCCTTCAAAACCCCATGTGGCCACTACTGTTCTGTAGTATGGGGGACAACTTAAATGGTAATGAATAATGTCATAAATCAAATCTTGCTCATCAAAGGGATGTATTAGCTACAAACAACACAAGCCCACTGTCATTCTGCTTTCTCACTAAATCTGACTTTCTAATGTCTAGAACAATTGCTGAGCCCTTCCCATTGGCCAGTGGTCTTCGAAGGCTGGACCAGCCACTAGGATCTGATTAGGGTGATGGAATATGGGAGCTGCCCATTGTGACTTTCCTACCCTCCTCCATCCTCCAGAGTGGGTGATGCTGACAAGAGCCTTGGAAGTGGACAGGTGCCTCTAGGGAAGGCTAATGGGCCCCAGACCCACTTTTACAGCACTGGTGGCTGGTCTGCAAAGATGTCTTGGTTGTTTCTGTTCTGTTTACCACTGGTTCACATGGGGTGGGAGACAGAATTCAGTCCATTCTAAGTCTGCTTCCCACACAATTTTCTTTGACTTTTGTAATTGACTACATTTACTTGTTGAAAAGAACTTGTAAGTAGCAAAGACAAGTAAAGGAGCAAATCCACTGCAAGGCAAAAAGACAGTTTATTTGTACCCAGATTGCCGGCTCTGCCAGTGATTTAAGTACAGCTGTGTCTCAGGGCTTACTGTTCACAGGAAGCATGGCTGAGGCACTGAAGGTAGCTGGTGTTTCCTAGAATCTGTAAAATGCATCTTTAACCCTGACTTTCACCCATGGGTCACTCCAGAGAAAGAAACCTCACTGTTTGATTCGCCTTAACTGCCTTGTGGTCACCTGGGCATTTTCCCTCCACCCCCAGCCCCTGCTTTCTTATTTATTCTTTGAGAACTTCATGTACGCATACAGCATATTTTGATTATGATCAAAAGGTGGTATCTTAACCTTTCACACCCACAAGGGAAGCAAGTATCACACATCAGTCTATTTATAAATTGTCAAAATAAAAACAAGTTATATACCCAACAACAAGGAATTGGATACATAATTCATCAACTATTTAGCATAGTGCTATGGTGCATTTGATATGTAATGTTAGATGAAAATTACAAGTTATTTTAAAATACCATAATTTCTAGATGGATCCTCTATGTTAAAATTCTAATATAGATCTCTTGATTTAGACATTTTGGCATAGGGAAAAGCCTACCATAACAATCATTATGTCTGGCCAATATCATGTTGGAGCATTTAGATTTTTCTCTATTTGCATATCTACCTTTTCTAGTTAGTTGTGAAAACACTTAGGAGAAGACCACTTGGCCATGCAGCCTGTAAGACCCCAAAACTAGAGGCCTCATCTGAGGGAACAAGTAGATAATCTATACATACCTTAAGGAGAAAACTACTCACCTATCCAGCAGGTTCTCTCTTGGAATCCGAACCTTGTCAAATATCAAAATTCCGTTATCCACTCCATTCAGACCTGGGAAAACAGGTTTCAAATGTAGATGCAAGGGAAAGCTATGCAACATTCCAAAGATGGTCTCAGCCACTTCTTGGCCTAAAACATAAACCTTCAACATTTCCAAAACTGCAGGTGCTCTTTTGTTAGGGGCATAGTAGGAATATTGTCTCAGACACACCTGGCCCATCCCCAACCCCCCCAAAGGAAAACAGCCCTTGTTTGCAGCCCCCCACCTCCCACACACAGTGTGCTGGGGGCTCAGGTTCAGGGTCTGATAGGGCATTTCCCTCCCTAGCAGCAAACATTATTAAAAGGAAGGAAAGAGTTCAGGGCCTGAGGAGACATCTCAGTGGCTAGGAGGACCAATTGATCTTGCAGAAGACTCAGGTTCAGTTCCGAGAACCCACATGGTGGCTCACAACCATCAGCAATTCCAGTTCCAAGGGACCGATGCCTCCTTCTGACCTCCCTCAGCACCAAATACGCATACGATACATGAACATGCAGGCAACACACTCATACACACAAAATAAAAGTTAAAGCTAATTAAGTACATGAAAGTTAAAAGGGAGGCGTTCCAGGCGAGAGAACCATGGGGCACTGAAGGCAGAAGTCAGCCCCTCCCCACACACATCTCATGCCTCCTCCCTTTGGAGCATCCTCCTCAGGCACAAGAGGAACGAGTGAAAGTAGATGACAGAAGACATAGAAAACCAAAGCAGTCTCTCTGCCATTGCCACTGTTTTCTACAGGTGGCAGGACTTCATAAGCATTGGCCTGCCCCGCTCTCAGCAGCACTTGACACCCCAGGTGCTTCAGGGGCCATGCTTAGCAGCAGTGATTTCCTATACTAAGGGTAGGATGAGGTTACTCCTCCCCTGTCCAAGGTGTCTCCCCTACCCCATCCTCTCTCTCTTCTCCCTTTTATCCTTAATTCCTATAACCCTTTTTTAAAGCTGGTATCACCTTGGAAACCTGGTATCACTGGGTGCTAAGGAATGAATTGTGTCCTCTCCCTATCCCATTTGTAGGTTGAAGTCCTAAGCCCCATATCTATAATACTACCTTGTTTGAAAATAGCGGCATTACAGAGGCAACCAAGTTAAAACAGGGTCATTAAGGTGGACCCTAATATAAATGATAGAAGTTCATGTATGAAGGAGAAACCTGGGGACAGATATGTACATAGGGAGACTATGTGCTCATGTGAAGATGGCATTCACAAGCTGAGGCAAGAGTCCTGGACCAGAATCTTCCATTGCCTCCATCAGAAGGAGTCAACGCTGGCAGCTCCCTCATCTCAGGCCTCGATCCTCCAAAACTGAGGACCAGGCTGTGTTACCAATGTCCTGAGTCATCCTCAAGGCTCACCAAGGGCTACAAGGCCACAAACATTATCTGGAGATGAAGCATCATCAGAGATCTTTGGTGGGGGGCTGGAGAACCCACAGGAGACACAAATCAACAGAGGAGGTCACCTGAGAGCTCACCTTCTTTGTGCATCATATCAATAGCTGTCACTCCTGGATACAAGTTTCCGTTTTCATCTCTGATGGGAACGATGAAACAGTGGGGCCCTAAGGAAGGCACAGAGACAGGCCTCTATTAGGTCTCCCTTTTTCACTGTTTTTGAGGCTGAGTCTCAGTGTGTAACCCTGGATGGCCTAGAACTCACCATATAGGGCAAGATGGTCTCTAATTCAATTTAATCCTCCTGCCTCTGCCTTTCAAGTGTTGGAATTCCAAGAGTAAGCTACCATACGTGGCCCTAGACTCACCCTCCTAAAGAAAAAACTTTCAAGCTGGATGTGGTGGTATGTAACTTTAATCCCAACATTTGGGAGGCAAAGGCAGGTGGATCTCTGTAAATTCAAGGCCAGCCTGGTCTACATAGAGAGTTCTAGGATAGTCAGGAATATCCAATAAAACCATGACCCAAAAAATAAAAATAAAAGAATAAAACTTCATGTCTTCTCTGTAGCAGTATGACATTATTTCACTCTCCAAATCCATCGAGTTCTAGGCACTGCATACAACAGAGGCTAATGTCAGCATATTTGATAATCACTTTTATATAGAAGAGAAAGTTAGCGGTGCATATTTTTATAAAACAAAACTGGCCCTGTGAAGCACATCTTCAGTGTAAAGAATTGATGTGAAAACAGAAATAGCAAAGATAATTCTTTCATGTTGGTAACAAACCTTGAGACCTTCCCTCAATGATGAGCTGGGCAAAGACAGCAGCATAGTTCCCATACATGGCGTTGCCGATGTACATCTTCTGGGCATCTTCACATGGCGTGTCAATCACAAACTCCTGCACAGAAGAGTAAGTCAGAGTGTTTGCCTCCATGTGGCTCCTTTCAACCCCTAGCTCAACACAATGAATACCACAAAACAGATCTGCAGGGTAAGGAAGATTCAGAGGTTCCTGGAAAGCCACTGTCTCAACTTTGTGTAGTTCTGTCACTCCAATGTACTTTACCTTCATCTTTGCTTTGAAGGTCGCAGGAGATTAAAATGGATAATTCGATCAGAAAAATAAGTGAGCAGTATTCATTCATTCATTCATTCATTCATGCATTCCCCATCTGTCTTTGACAGTGTCAGGCTGATGTGTGCTGTTCTGTTCATCTGCCAGGTATCAATGTGTTAACTATTTCTTCAGTTATCAGTTTCTATCATCCAGCTACTTAATAATGAGGTTTCCACTTTTAAAGAACCCAACCTAACACCTCTACAAGAGCTAGATGTGACAGCACAGGGCCCAACCCTATCTACTTTAGAGGCTGGGATAAGAAGACTATAAACTCAAGGACTGCTTGGACCTCACAGTGGGTTTAAGGGCAGCCTAGGCAACTTAGCAAGGACCCTTCTCAAAATAAAAATAAAGGGATGTGGCTATAGATCAGTTCCATACACCCCTCACCCTCAAACACCTCACGTATGGGGTGCCCATGAAAAAAGGGGTGACCCAATGATCCAGGGCCCTGCATGGTTTGTTCCTGACTACACGAATGTATGTTTCACTTTGGCTTTCTTTTGTGGGTAAATCTCTGACTTCTCAAGCCTTCTTCTATTGCACAGGCCTGGCCAGCCTGCAATCATGATAAGAACTTTGTTTAAATGACAACCAGATCATCAAGAGGCCAAAATCACATACTTGGCTGTGAGCAAAACAGGTACCTGTGAGCTATTCCTATCATTTAGCATTTCACTCCAAAATAATTTTAATTTTTTAAAGGAAAAGAAAACACCCATCAAAGCCTTTGGCTGGTTGTCTCAGAATCTTCTGTGAACATCTTACTAGTCAGTGACTACAATAAAGCCCCCAAGGTCCCAGACTAGAGTCATGAGACCAAACCCTTGGAACAGAAACACCTGTAAAGGAGCCTCAGTCTTCCAAGGGGATCTTAGAATTTCCTATGCAGTTTGTCTCAGTAATAGCCAAAGATGCCAGCTCCAAACACCCTGAAGCTAACTGCAGCCTGAAGAAATGGGGAAAGCATGCAGGGTTGGTTTCTAGTTTCTGCTCGAGTCCAGGATTCTCTTCCCTACTGTCTGGACACCAATACTAGTGGAAATATTGCCATCAAGGCCCACATCTCCCCAGTCTTGTTCACCACATGAGTTCTCTTTAAACCTCCTACTAAGGAGGTACTGACCACACCGCTAGCTCTGAGCACAGGGTACCTATGACAGGTCAAGGACCCAGAAGAAATAGGAGAAGGCTGAACTGGCCATTTAATTGGAGCTGACAATGTAGAAGATATGATTCAGCTAAACCAACATGCTCTTGGTCACACAAGGATTATCTCAGATTTCAGATTATAAAGTGTATAGACTGTGCTTTTCCACCGGGCCAAGAAACACAGTCTTGAGGCCTAAGAAAACAATCTCTGACATCAGTTTGTACAGGAAAACCTTTAACATGTGCAGGGGCTTTTCAGAAAAACACATGGATGAGTTGAATAGCTTTAAGAGAAGCCTCTGGGGATTGCCCTTGGCTTATCTGGCCAGTCATGGCTGCTGAAAGCAGGAGTAACTCCAGGCTACATGCAATGGGCAAGAATGACAAAACAACCCGTGTACATGATGGGGAGGGAGAAAAGAGCCCTGGAAACCTGGGGCTGCCTGGGGAGAAGGTGGGAGGCCACCAGTCCTGTACACATCTAAGAGCTTTGTCACTTCTGGCAAGAGGCTTGACGTGGAAAGTTTGTATCAGCCAAAACACTAGAGTTGAAACTGTAATCTAAACAATGCCCAACATGTGTGCTGGTTACAATTATGATTACTTGTGGAAGACCAGCAAAATGGTCAAAGTTGCAAACACTAAGAAATGCAAAAAATAAAATAAAATTAATAAGAAAGTACAGGGCTGGAGAGGTGGCTCTGTGGTCAAGAGCATGAGCCACTCTTGCTCTTAGAAAGAAGGTGACTTTGGTTCTCAGCTCCCCTGTCAGGCAGCTCCAGGAGAGCCCACGTTCCTGGGCTCTGAGGATACCTGCACTCACATTGTACATGTACCCCCCCACACACACACAGTACATCATGTAAATACAAAGTAAATCTTTTTAAGTAAAAAGGGGCCAGTGAGACAGTTTAATTCCTGGAACCCATATGGTAGAAAGGAGAGAACAGACTCCGGCAAATTGTTCTGACTGCCACAGAGTGCTGAGGCACATACAGGTGTACACATGTGTGTGCACGCACATACAATATAAATACATAAACAATAAAGTTAAAAAGCTTTGGCCATAACCTCATTTACTTTTGCTAGTTAGCATGGAGTATGAAAATAAAATTCTTATCTCACATTGAACCATGCCACTGGATAATCTATTCCCATACAAATGAAAACAAAAGAACCCACAAACCAAAAAAGTAAATGAGGGAAATAAGGTTCATTTGATATGCTACACAACTTTCAAAGGGAAATGAAGGAGAAACATGAATCCAAGGGAGAAAGCCACCCCCTACTGCGTTAGTCCCCTCCCCCTTACCCACTCCCCTGCTTCCCTCCTGGCAGAAGTTTATGACTGACTTGTTCTCGTTCTCTCTCCCACCCACTGGAGAGATAGTGCTCCCCATCTCCTCATCAGCAACTCCCCTGTCAGAAAGAGGCAGCTGCAGGGGCCTATCAGGTGACAAAATCACTTATGCTATTTGGGGAAAATGAGACCAATGCAAGAAATTATTTTTTTGACAAAAAAAATTATAAGAAGAAACAAGTAAGAATGTGGGTGGTTTTTCTTTCACAGTAATGATTGCAAGGTCATCTCAATATCACAGCTTGGGAAAAGAAAAAAAATGGCCAGCCAAAACCCATAAGGTATCAGGTCAATAAAGCATCGCTTGGCGGGGAAGCCACACTCTTAAAGGCAGCTCCAGTTCAGTCTAAGGCTCCTCATTAGCTATCACTAGAGTCAGAGTCCTAACATCTGTGAGCCTCAGTTTCTCCGTCTGTAAAACAGCAACAACAATGATCCGCTGGCTGGTTATCTAAGTGCTTAGCTTAGAGTCCACTACCCCTTCAATTCTCAGATAACAGGAACTGCTTCACCTATTTAAAGGGAGTGTTGGTTTGAAAGAATACGCAACACCATAAAGAAGAAGCTGGGACAGCATAGCAGGGCACAGCCCTTGCTCATAATGTGACCTGGGATATCACTGACTGCTATAGAGAATGAACATCAGGGCAGGGAAAAGCCATCCTCTAAGACCTGTCACCTGAATATGACATTCTAAACACTGGCCACTCACCCAATGAGGATTCATCACTCCCCCCCCCAAAAAAAGCCTTGTTTTTAAAGATGTCCTGATTCAGAAGGCAAACTCAGAGGAAATGGAAGAATGGAGCTGGACACACAGACACTAGTGTAACAGCTCCTCCCCACCCCACTCACAAACACGGCTGTGCATATCAGAATTCAGTTACCCCTTGTAGTCCTTAGGAATATCCAGTACCAAATAAGAAACCACGAAACCACAGTGGCTTTCTTTATCCAGTGGTGGGAACAGGGTGAGTCCAGTAGTGGAGAGCTACAAAGGAGAGCCCAGGATGTTTGTAGCCCAGGATGGAGCAAGACACCAAATTAGAAGGTCTTGGCCAACATCTTTACTTAATTAATAAGAAGGGGAAAGAGGGACAGTGAGATGGCTCAGTGGGTGAAAGCACTTGCCACAAAACCCGATGACGTAAATTCAGTCCCTGGGACCCATGGCCGAAGGAGAGAACTCAATCCAACAAGTTGCCCTCTGACCTCCACATACATGCTGTGGCATGGACAGATGTGTGGGTGCCCGTGCTCCCGTGCATGCACACACACGCACATGCACGCATGCTAACAAATAAGTATTTTAAAGTAAAGGGAAAGGAATAATAGCAAAGAAAAGAGAAACAAAAGGAAAAGATCAGAGTCATCACATGAGGGAGAAAAAGTGACACTAAGGTGCCTTCAGGTTGTCAAGTAGAATCTGTGTGAGCCATGGTTAAAAACAACACATAGGGACTAGGAGATGACTCAGTGGGGAAGAACTCTTGCTGCTTGAGCATGAGGACCTAAGTTTAAATCCCCAGGACTCAGATAAAAAGCCAGGCGTGGTGCTACTTGTCTGTCACCCCATCCTGTGTTGGACAAAAACAAGTATCACTGGGGCATGCGGGCTGCTAGTCTATCTCTCGGTGGGAGATTCTGTCTCATGGGAATAAGATAGAGAATGGTACAGCAGGAAACTCTACATCTTCTTCTGGCTTCCATATGCATAGGCATGGGAGCACATGTGTGCACATATACCACACACACACACACAATCTTAGTTAAGGGTTTCTATTGTTGTGAAGAGATACCATGAAGCTTAGTCAGAAGTTTAGTTCATTATCATCATGGTGGGACATGGGAGCATGCAGGCAGACATAATCGTGGAGAAAGAGCTGAGAATTCTATATCTTGATTCAAAGGTAACAGGAAGTGAACTGAGACACTGGGTGTAGCTTGAGCATAGGAGACCTCAAAGTCTGCCCCAACAGTGACACACCTCCTCCAACAAGGCCATACCCACACCAACAAAGCCACACCTCCTAATAGTGCCACTCTCCATGAGCTTATAGGATCCAATTACATTCAAAACTAACACACACACACACACACACACACACACATACACTGCCTAATACAATTAATGACCCATTATCTGCATGAATCCCACATCACTAGAGTCAACCATGTATTGAGATACATTTTAATTACATCTATACTGATTACCTGTGGATATTATTTTCTTATCATTCCCTGAATAATAAGTTTAACAAACACATAGCATCACATTAAATAAGGTATTAGGAGTCATCAAAAATGATGTAAAGTATATAGGACAATGTGTCAGGTCCTACACAAATGTTATGTCACGTATATAAGGAAACTGAGCATCTGTGTATTTTAGAATTATCAGAGATTCCTAGAAGCTGTGATACCCCATGAGGGACAACTGTGACAGCATAGAGGACTTATCTCCTGACCATGTGCAACAAACAGAAACAGCAAAGACATCTCCTCTCTTCTTCATGGACTACTGTTAGAAAGAACAAGGTGGCTATTACTGTTTCCATGGAAACATTATGAGGGAATAACTAAAGAATTCATGTACTGAGCTGTGTCTAAGCGTAGTTGGTATTGCTCACAAAGGCTGAGCTCATGTCCATCTCTAAAACAACCAGATGCTGTTCTGAGTCTAAGATTCTCAATCAGAGTACATGTCAAAGGTATGAAGCCCAGCAGCACATGCAGAGTGCATGAAGACTGACAGCGCATGCAGAGGGCATGAAGCCAGGCAGCGCATGCAGAGGGCGTGAAGCCAGGCGGTGCATGCAGAGGGTGTGAAGCTGGATAGCAAATGCCAAAGGTGTGAAGCCCGGTAGCACATGCTCAGGAAGATGGGGTGGTCTATACAGGACTCCTGTTGCAGTCAACCATGAAAAAAGAAACAGACTCTTCACCTGATTGTCAAGGTCAAAGGTGGCCTCAGTCTGGATCCCTCTCACATTGCTCCCATGACCCTTCTCAGTCATTGCAAACATCCCAGTATACTTCTGCTCCTAAGTTCAGGAGATATTAAAAGAGAATTAGATGGTCAGGTGATCTCTAGCTGAAGACCTCAGGCCATTAACAATATTAGCAAGAAAGGGAGCAGAAAGCTGGAGACAAACATAAAAATGTATCTTGTTGGCATCTATTATGAGGTTATGAATATAACTGGTGAAGATGGAAGGATGGCTTGGTGGTTTAGAGCACTTCTAGCTTTTGCAGAGGACCTAGTCGAGTTCCAGCACCCACATAATGGCTTATAAATACCCAATAACTGTAGTTTCAGAGGATCCAACGCCCTCTTCTGGTCTCTGAAGGAACTAGACACTCATGTGGTGCACAGACATATATCCAGCCAAAATACCCACACACATAAACTTTTTATCCTAGTGACAGACATGGAGGAGTGATGAGCAAAGGGGTCAAGACCATGATGATGAAATCCACAAAGACAAATGAACAGATAAGGGGGAGATCTTGAATCCCAGACTGATGGCTAATAGGCCAACAGGAGACTGATCCAGACCCCATAAATGTAGTGCCAGGGAGGAGGCCACAGAAATCACTGGGGCCTTGGGTAGTAGATCAGTGTTCACCATGGTTTATGAATGAGCTTTGAGAGACCATTCCAAATAGAAGGATGCTCTCTCAGCCTGGACACATAGGGAAGGGCCTAGGTCCTGCCCAGGATGAAATGACAGACTTTAGAGATCCCCCAAGGAGGGTCTCACCCTCCCTGGGGAATGATGTGGGGATTGGGTGGGGGGCTGGGGGACTGGTAGAGGGACAAGGGAGGAGGGGTGGAAGAGGGAGCTGGGATTGACATGTGAAACATTCACATTTCTAGTTTAAATGAAAACATATTTTGAGAAAAAATGATTATGACAGATGTAGCATAATATTTTAAAAGATAATCTTGAAATTCTCATTTTAAACAATTTTTTAATCAGACATACATTCACACAAAAGTACTATGAATTGTTTTTTAAATCTCCATAAAAAGCTATCTATTAAGGTAAGAATCATACCTTGAGTTGCCAAAACCACTTGGTAACATGTTCAGGACTTCCAAGATTGTTGATGGCACCTCCAAATAACAAGGAAATGATTCCACACTAGAAACAAGGACAGTACAAACAATGACTAGCCACAATCAACAGCTTAGCAACAACTAGACACACTAGGGGTTATCTCTAGGTTTCCTTTTATACTACACAGGTCTTTATCTGCCCTTTTATAAGACAGGGAAGAGGGAGGAAAGAGGAGGAAGCAAGGGTTTAAGAAAGAGGAAGAGAAGTGTTCTAGTTTGATCTCTGCTGCTATGATAGACATAATGATCAAAAGCAACTTGGGGGAATCAAGGGTTTCTTTCAGCTTCCGGGTTACAGACATCATCAAAGGAAGCCAAGGCAGGAAACTTAAGTCAGGAACCTGGAGGTAGGGACTGAAGCAGAGACCACTGAGGAAAGCTGCTGACTGGCTTGGTCCCCATGGTTTTCTCGTCTTACTCTTACACACCCAGCACCACCTGCCCAGGGTGGCACCACCCACAAGGGACTGGGCTTCCTCACGTCAAACATTAATCAAGGAAGGCCACATAAGCCAATCTGATAGAGAGACAATTCTTCAACTGAGGTTCCCTCTTCCCAGGTGACTAGTTTACGTCAAGTTGACAAAAACTGGCCAACACAAAGAGGAAGAAGGGGGGCTGGAGAGATGGCTCAGCGGTTAAGAGCACTGACTGTTCTTCCAAAGGTCCTGAGTTCAATTCCCAGCAACCACATGGTGGCTCATAACCACCTTGAATGAGCTCTGATGCCCTCTGCTGGCATGCAGGCAGAAGATTATATACATAATAAATAAATAAATAATATAAAAAAAAGAGGAAGAAGGGACATCTAGAACAAAGCCACATGGAAGGAGCAAGACAACTGACAGAAAAAGCAAAGGGATGGAGATGTGTAGACATTTGCTGGTGCTGAGCTCAGCATTCCTTCCCTCTCCACACACTCTGAATTTCTCCTGAGGACCATCCTTCCCTAGAATGGGTCTGAATGCCTTTAGGATGGCTTTAGGATGAGTGTGACCTTCATATAGCTAAGCTACATCATCCCCATAGTCATGAGGATGTGGCTTCAAGATCTCATGGAATCCAAAGGATCTCAGTGGGCCAGTCTGAGTGGCCCAGACACAATGGAATGCAGGGAGATGGAGATCTGAGGCAGCTAACTACCATCTCACTACAATGAGTGAAGCCAACATACACTGACGAGGTTGAAGAAAGAAGACAGCCCAGAAGTTTAAGAACTCAGGTTTTACTCCCCTATGAAATTCTTTAATTATAGCAATTAAGCCTATCTTTCTCAATCAAGGGGGCGGGGGTGGTCACTGATAACTAAATGAGTCACCCGCATCCATACATCTGGAAAATGGAATCAATTCAAAACGGTTTACTTTTTCTCTGTCTAGTTTAAAAGACAACTAATTTTTTTTCTTACTCAACTAAATTTAATTTATACAAACTAATAACAAGTTGAATTTTCCTGTCCTAAATCTCTTTGGCTGATGGCAAATGTAAACACTATCATATATTTCTTTTCTAGGCTTTTCCTCTTCCCTGGGAATGGGAAAAACTGGAATTTTTTTGTACACACTTAGAAAGTTTCCATTCACTAGCTACATTAGTAAGCAGTTATGCCAGAGTGGTCTGTATCTTCGAAGGAAAGAGGCCAGCTCATAGATAGCATCTGTGTCACTTCCACTCACACAATCAAGAAATGTGTGGGGACTTCCCCTCACAAAACCACAGTCTCCAAATGGCAGACAACACCAAGACAGGAAGAGTGGAGCTGGGGGGTGAGTGCTGAGCAGGTGACCTCTAGCCTGACATGTTTACAGCAGTGCCTCCTAGGAGGAGCACAAACATTTTTCTAGCCAGAAAAATGAGACAGGCAGGCAGGAAGTGGTGATGGCAGAATTCACTGATCATTGAGGAAAGAAGTGGAGAGATTCAGTATGTATTCTGGAGACAAGTTTATGAGTTGGATTTGGGAAGAGAAGGGGGCACTCTGGGAGATACCTGGCCTTTGGCTAAGTGACCATGTGTGTGAAATCCCATTAGTTGTGATACTGGAATTTGCAAAAGTTGCCATGAACCAGGGAGGAGATGCTTAAATGAAGATACTGGAACAGAGATACTGAAACTGACAAGAGATGGACATCTATCCAAACTGCCGTCCCAGAAGACACTGTGCTCACTGCTGTCAAAAACATCCATTATCCTGTCCCCTAAGTAAACCTTAGGGGGCAGAACACTAGGAAGCCTATTTGTATGGGGACAAAGTGAGGAAAGCACTTTTGACCCCAAACCCAAACTGCAAACATGTACTCAACATGTACTGTTTTGGGGTGCGTCTCTCTCCTTTCTCCATAATCTGGAGAAGAAAAAGGATGGTTGCAGCATCAGGAGTATAAAGCAATAACCACAACATGCCCAGAAAGGGCTGGCAGCAGCCTCACTGGCTACCACTGGAGATGCCTAAAGGCTGGCATCTGAAGTCAGGACAGTATCAAGAGACAAACGGTGAGCCTTGGCAGAGCCTCACCTCACACTTGGGGATGAGAAGGTGATTCCAGGCATCAGAGCAGAGTGCTGGTTGACCTCACCTTAATACACCAATGAAACCACCACCGGGTAGATAATTAAGGCAGGCTCCTGGGTTCCCTTAGTTTGCAAAGTGCTTGCCTTGTAACCACGGGGACCTGAGTTTGATCCCCAGAACCCCTGTGAGAAACACCCAAGTCCCATGACATGCATTTGTAGTCTCAGTGCTGGGAAAGCAGACAGAGGATCTCCACGGCTCACTGGCTAGCCAACCTAGCCTATTCAGTGAATTCCAGGCCAGCAAAAGACCCTGTCTCAATTTTTTTAAAAATAAAGTATACAGGAGCTAGCAAGATGGTTCAGATGGTTCAGGAGGTATTGTTGCCAAGCTTGATGACCCAAGTTCAGTCTCCAGAATCTAGATGGTAGAAGGAAAGAAATGATTCCAGCAAATTGTCCTCTGAACTTCACAGGCACACCATGACGCATTCCTATTCTCTCTGCCTCTCTGTCTCTGTGTCTCTGTGCCTCTGTGTCTCTGTGTCTCTGTCTGTCTGTCTCTCTATTTCTCTAGATCTCCCTCTCCCTCTCTTTCTCCTCCCCAACCCCTCTTCTCTCTCTTTCAACACATAAACAATCTAATTATAAAAAATATGGCTGAGGAAAGACACCACAGTTGTCCTCTTGCTTCCATAGTAAGCAAGCGTACACACACACACACACACACACACACACACACACACACACACACCCTAGTCACATCTCAGAAGGTTATACCAAGAGGATCAGGACTTAGAGATGTTTTATGCCTGCCCACTTCCTGTCTTGCTCTTTGCCTCCTAGTCTGCTGTGATGCTGATCATCTGCTACCCACTCTTGCCACCACAGCACCACCTGTTTCTCCATGCCTTCTCGCCATAACGAGCTGAAACCATGAACCAAGATAACTCATTCCTCCTTGTGTTGGTTTCCGAGGTATTTGGGTCATGGTAATGCAAAAGTAGCAAATACCATTGAATTTCCACGTAAGCTGATGAGAAAGCAGTAGTGCTCTCCATTAAAGGGTTTAATTTTCAAAACCAAATATTATTTAAATTAATGAAGGTAGTGACTTGCAACAATATAGATCAGTCTCAGCAGTGATATCTAAGTGAAGAAAGTAAGTCACAGACACTTATGGTACTGTCTTTTTGAAACAATGACAAATGAAGTCAGGGTAGTATTGGCGTACGCCTTTAAACCCAGCACTCAAGAGGCAGAGGCAGGCTGATCTCTGTGTGTTTGAGGTCAGCCTGGTCTACAGAGTGAGTTCCAGGACAGAAAGGGCTACACAGAGAAACTATGTCTCTGAAAAAAAAGAAAGAGGGGGGATGGAGGAAGGAAGGAAGGAAAAAGGAAGGAATGATGAAAGGAAGGAAGGGATAGAAATTAAGACAAACAAGAATAATAAATTAATACAGGATATGTGTATTAATGAAAACAATATGAAAAACCAGGCAAAAAATATGAGACATGCACTAGTGATCCCAGCACTTGGGAGACAGAGGCAGGAGTTCAAGGCCAGCCTATGCCATAGGAGGCTATCTCAAAAGCAAACAAAGAACAAGGAGCAGACAAGAGGATGGGCGATGATGGTGAAAAAGCAGAAAGATGAGCAGTGACGTGGTCTCTCTACAGACACCCACTCAGTAACCACGCTGAGAGTGCATCACTTCACTCCTCCTCAGCTCCCAGGGCGCTCACCTTCACACACGTGGACGCATCCACCATGCAGAGCACCTCTCCCAGGACAAGGCTTCGGCTGATGAAATTCCTCCTTTTTTCTTCCTGAAAATATAATGGATCCAATGTCAAGATTTACTTCTGGCCTTTTGAACTCAAAATATACATTTTAAATAATATGTGACTTATGTAATACTTTCACAATAAAATTTAACACAAAGAAATTTTAAGTCAGGAAATAATCCCATCACTCTTTTGAAAATAAATGTTTTTTTCTTGTGTCAATGTGGCCTTTGGTCTCTGGCCATTTGGGTGTGGTATTCAAGGACTTTTTTCCTTTTTTTTTTTTTAGTTTTTTTGTTAAAAGAAAAGAATTATTTAGGGATATGTGCAACAATACAGTTCATGTGTAGAGGTCACAGGTCAACTTGAAAGCATCAGTTCTCTCCCACTGTGTGGGTCCTGTGTGGGTTCTGAGGATCTAAATCAGGTTATCAGGGACAGCAACAAGTGCCTTTACCTGCTATTTCACCACCTAGAGCTCTATGGCCTCTTTTCTGACACAACAAGAAGTCAACTGCTCCTGACTAGAAGTCAGCCTCAGCATGGGGACAGACGCTTTGTCCCATCCCTCATTTCCCCAGGCTTTACTTAACCTTGACCAAGCTTGTCCCTGGCCTCCCAGTATGTTTCCCCTGCAATATAGGCAGCCAAGACATCCTGCCTATCTTCTCTAAGTGTGCACACAGCAACAGGGATATGAAGAAAATCCCTTAGAAAATCTGACATTTTAGATAAAGGAAAAGCCATGGTCTTCTCTTTTGAAGCATAGGTGGTCACCCCTGGGCTTGATTTGTGATTTTAAAACCATGAGATCCTGGTCTCTCATCCCTATTGATTCTCTCGTTGTCACAATATCAGCAACTTCCAAAGCTTAATGAGCTCACAGTTCTCCATTGGTTAATTATAAAAAACTAGAGCAGGGCTTAGAGTATGGCTCAGAGGGTCAAAATGCCTGCTGTAGGGCCTGAGTGTGGGGTCTAGCACCTGTGTAAAAGGCCAGGTGCAGTGACAAGTGGGTATTTTTAATTCTAGCACTAGAGATTCTAGCAGAGACAGGAGGACACTAGGGGCTCTTAACCAGCCAATCTAGTAAAATCACTGTGATGGGGATAGCCTTCTGTATATATGTTTCTCTTCTTGGTTGATGAATAAAACACTGATTGGTCAATAGCCAAGCAAGAAATATAGGTGGGGCTACCAGACCAGGAGAAGACTGGGGAGAGGAAGGCAGAGAGGGCCAAAGAGAGATGCCATGCTGCCAAAGGAGTAACATGCCGGATTATGGGTAATCCACAGCCTAGTGGTGATACATAGATTAATAGAAATGGGTTAATAATTAAGACAGAGCTAGCCAATAAGAAGCCTAAGCTATCGGCCAACAGTTTAATAATAATATGTCTCTGTGTGCTTATTTGGGGCTGAAGGGTGGTGGGACCTGGCAGGACAGAAACCTCCATTCACATCACTGAGTTCCACATTCAGTGAAAGTGCCTGTTTCAAAAAATACAGTGGAAAGTGACAGAGAAGAACACCAACATTGACCTCTGGCCTACACACAGACACACAAGACACACACACACACACACACACACACACACACACTTTTCAAAAAGAACCAGAAGCAGCATGTCCTGAGAAGGTGGTAGCCCCTAGAGTGGACAATTTGCAATTATTCATTATTGGATTTCATACTAGTTGTCTTCTCATGGGCCAATTTCTTCTGAGATCCCCACCAACAAAACTGGTACAAGTTGCTCATGTTTGCGTGGACATGCACACATGTATTTGCGTATCCAGGTATGAACACATCTATCTTGTATATATTGTGTGCATGAACTTCTGTGTTTGAGTGTGTGTGCATGTTCCTATATATACATATGTGGACATGTACATGTTCCTTTATACACTCATGCAGGTCTATGTGTGTTTCTATATACATAGTCACATGTGATGTTTCTGTGTGCGCATTGCCCCATCAGCAGCAGGATACCAACCTTCTTTGGATGACTGTTCCTACTCTGGCTTCAACTCTCTCCCTAGACATCCTCCATATTTTCCCTCTCACAGGTTTTTATAATGTTTCTCTCAAGCATTATTAATTCCATCAAACACCATACTGTCAAGATTTATGCTTCTCAACATGGCTGCAACCCAACACATCTTGTATTGATTATTTCCTAAAATACCTCCAGGCTCTCACAGAAACCATTGCATGGCTCCAGCCTGGGATTGCACCAAAGAGACAGTTACAAGCAGATAATGAAAAACAACTGTAGCAGAGACTTTTTTGAAGGGCCCAGTGTCCTCTGTTTTACCAATCTTTAGAACAACCCAGACACCGCATAAAAGATGGAAAAGCTTATGCTCAGGGAAATCAAGTGAGTTACCCAACCAGAGTCACCTGGTGAGTGTCAAAACAAGGATCAGGAACTAGAACTTAAGTGCTCTTATGAGAATGTCTTGCTACTAACTCTAACTGTCCTTAATTATTAAGGACTCTGGTGGCCCAATCTTTATCACTGATTTTATTTTGTACCATCAGAGAGTACATCTTCCTGCCAAGGTGCCCACATGTCATCTTTCTGAGTCATGCTATCTATAGTCACAAGAACAAACATCCCTTTGTCTTCAATCACTTGCTTTGCTTTTTCTAAAGCCAAATCATCGAAAGTATGCAAGTCTCCTGAGCATAGTGGCACATGCCTGAAATCACAGCACACAGGAGGCAGAGGAAAGATCCAGATTGGCCTGGTCTGCATAGAGGTTCCACACCAGTCAGAGTACACAGAAAAAAACCTGTCCCTAAGTAATTATTAGATAAATAGGTAGTTAGGTAGATGGATGGATGGATAGATGATAGATAGAAGATAGATGATAGATAGATAGAGAGAGAGAGATGATAGTAAATCCTTTAGAAACATCAAGTGTAGATGTTTTTCTTCATTCCGATAATTCACGCTATTGATACAGAATATAATTTTGTTACTAGCAACATCCAATTGTGACCATTTTTACTCACAAGTTTGAAACTAACTACAAGCACATGTGTTGAATTCATCCATCTTGGAGCGTTTGAAATTGTTTATTATGATGACTTCCCTTCCCCTGTCTCCGCAGGAGACAGCCATGTTTATTTTATTAGACCTGATAGGAGATGTCAATAGGAGTTTGCCATTCCCTAGTGTTAATTTGAGTATGCACTTGGGCTGGTTCATCTTCAAGAAGTCAGATCAAAGTGTTTAAACCTGGACTGGGTTCGATATGATTAACTGTATTGCTGGCATATATTTTTAGCATCATCTACATACATGGATTCTCTTTGATAGCTATTTAATTAATACTTATTATTGGCAAATTTACCTTCTCATTAAATTGGCAGCACTAGCTGAACTGTCTATATTGACTGGGATCAATCATTAATCAATGCACTTTTGCATCTTTTTTTAATGTCTCTGCTACTTCATTTACATTTGATATATTCAAACCAAACCTAATGATTATACAATCATGTAAATTTATCACCACTTTAAATGATAGTGAATCCATAAGTGTAGAGATAAAAATTCAAACTTTTATTATATCTGAAATTGCAGCCCATGCCGTCAAACACATTTGAGTAGTAAGGTTAATTTCAAGCAGAAGAAAGACAGCTTGTCCTAAAATAATCTCTTTCAGGGCATTTATGTAGCAGATCTCTATGCTATGATATTCTGCTACAAATTCTGGGGAGAAAGGAAAAGTCTTATTAATCCAGATATGTCCCTGAAACACATGTATATTTCCTCAATGAAAATTAACAAGATTCGGAACTACTGGAAGTGTGGAATCTGGGATGCCTTCCCTCAGATGTCAACATGGCCACAAGGTCCCCTCTGCACCCACAGGCAGCCTGCAGTAGGTTTCCACCAGGAGTAAATTAGTGTGCTTTTAGTACTGTTCCTTGTGAAGGTGCAGCCTTCTGTCAGCCTTACTTTTCTACCTGTGGGTTGATGGAGGACAGTGGAACAGCCTACACACAGGACTACCATTTTCTCACAACTCAAGACAATTTTTTAGCATTTAGGACATTGCAATAAAGTAGAAATCAGAACCTGCAATGGGCACCTTTTCTTGTATTTCTTCTTTTCAGGAGAAGGATGAAGGAGATCATTTGTGAGAGACATGTCCTCAGGAGGTCATCACCAATTTTCCATTTTTAATGAAGACCAATTTATCACTTTTTGCTTATGCATGTTCAGTGGGATGTAGGGAATGCACTCCCCTCACTCTCTCTAAGGAACTCTTGCTTATCCTAAAGTCAAAAGGATATCCTTTGCTTTTGTGAGCTGATTTTTTAAAGCTGTATAATAGACTTCAAATTATTTTTGCATGTAGTGTGAAGTAGGGATCTAGGTTTACCTTTTTTTTATTTGCTTCAGTATCATTTATTACAAAGATGTTCCTATGAAGTATAAATCAACTGATCAAATGTGTATTTCTGTCAGGGCTCTCTGTTTGTTACCTTGATATGTCTGTCTTTTTGTCAGTCACATCACCCTAGAAGGTTTCAAATGAGCCTTGAACTCATGAATGAGAGCCTACCAGATTCACTCTGTTATAGAATTGTGTCAGCCATTCTAGGCACTTTGCATATCCATATGTGTTATAGAATTGTGATAGGCATTCTAGGCACTTTGCATATCATATGTGTTTGGAATTAACCAGTGCATTGTGATGATGGCACCAGAGCACCTCCAGATTCAGCCTCATGCCACGCCTTTCCCAATGGTGGGAGCCTCCAACGATTCCATTACCAACTCAAGAAAATCTAAGCTGGGTATTGGTGGCACACACCTTTAATCCCAGCACTTGGAAGGCAGAGGCAGGCGGATCTCTGTGAGTTTGAGGCCAGCCTGGTCTACAGAGCAAGTTCCAGGACAGCCTCCAAAACAATACAGAGAAACCTTGTCTTGGAAAAAATCCAATCATTTCAGTGCAGCCTCCGTGTCTGGTTTTCATGTCCTATGATGGTTACTAGGATCACAGATCAGTGTATGAACAGA